ATATATATATATATATATATATATATATATATATATATATATATATATATATAAGGGCCATTCACATAATAACTAAACCACTGCGACATACTAGTTCGCAAATCTTATTCATGAAAAAAAAAGTTATACAATGTACGTCCATATAGATCAATGATACGCGTGCATGCAGTTACCATGCGTTGCTCATTTACATACACCCCTATTTATACATGATAAGTAGCTAGACCCGGCCAAAAATTGTATCTGACTGGGGTTTGTAATCAACTGCATATATATTTACTATATGCACTACAATATAGTATATGCATATGAAGCTATTATCATACTCATATATATCTAAAAAATATATTTATTACAATATATATGGAGTACTATGTTATGATTTTTTTGTACTTCGAAAATACTCCTAGCTATTGTACTACTATATATATGGCTAGCAAGTTCGCACAAGTACGTGCCCATGGTGCAATGCAGCCATATATATCCATGCAGTGGTGATGTGCATGCAACTACTCAGTGCTCACTGAAAGGGACTACCACAAACTGCAACAGCTACTGGCTAGCAATGTTGTAGGACTTGCAAAAGTTATGCATGCGTGCGTGCATGCCCGTATGTGGTGTTCATATCATTTGATCAGGGATTCCAGTTCACGCCGGATATTTGAACGGGATGCTGGAATCCAGAGGTGGCGGCGGCGGCTTCTGGCACCAGCGGAGCGCCGAGGATGACATGCTGCTGATGGTACGTCCCGTCTTGCACGGGAAGATAGGTAGACATGGCGTTCACCGCATTGCCTCCACCGTTGTCCACTGCGCCAGCCATGTCGGCCGTCGATGACAGCGACATATTGCCGACGTTTCTGCTCCTGTTAAACCCAGGAAAATTCCTTGCCTGTGGGAGGATGCCGACTGGTGACGCATCGAGCCAGTTGAACGGGGTCGAAGACGACGGGGCGAGAAACTGTTTGGTCGGAGCCGGGCTTGCCCTCGCCGCCGCTGCTAGGTGGCTCAGCGAGGTGGCGCCCGCCGAGAGGCCGGCGTCGTCTGCTGTGAACAGGCCGTCCAGGAAATGGCTGTCCTGATGATGGAGCAGTGAAGGTGAAGCGTAGTTGCTGCCATGCGCACCTGCACCGGTCATGCCCGCCGTGGCATAGAGCGGGTACGCGGTGACCGCGTCCTCCACGGAGTCCTCGCACTCCGTGTTCCTCTGCTGATCGCCGGCCGCGGCCTTGTTGATCTTCTTGTAGATGCGGCACAGCACCCAGTCGTCCAACTGATGAGACGACGGTACATAATTAACTTCATCAACCATCAACAATACCCTAATTAAGCTGGAGAGCAATTAAATACTGCTAGACCGTGCGATCGACACGTGTACGTACCCTGAGAGAGGCAGCAGCCCTGCTCCCGCCGGTCACCGGCGGCGGTCGGTTGGTGGCGGTGGTGGAGCCAGATGCGTCGGTGAGGCGGTACTCGTGCATGATCCAGTTGGTTTTGAGGCCCTTGGGCGGCTTCCCGCGGTAGAACACGAGCGCCTTCTTGACGCCGAGCTTCTCCCGGACCAGGCCGCACCCCGTCCCCGAGGCCAGGATAGGCTTGTCCGTGCCGGTGGCCTTCCAGTACCCCGACGTCGCCGCCCGGTTCGGCCGCGCGCCGTTGGGGTACTTGCGGTCGCGCGGGCTGAAGAAGTACCACTCCTGCTCCCCGATGGTCGCCTTCTCTGATGGATCCGGATCCCGAGCGCATGAACAAGCACGACAGGATCACATACATAAACCATCTACACACATGTGTACTGGAAGAATATAAAAATACTACTTGTGCACAGGAGTATAAGCATGAGATGGATGGATTATTCGATTATTTAATTGCACCTAAAATTTGCGGCGCTTGATAAAGTAAGCACGGCCGGCCGACGAGATAGACATAACATACCGGGGAGCTCCCATGGGTCGAACTTGTAGAGATCCACCTCGGCGATGATGTTGACGGGGAGCGGCGCCTTGTCGGCCTTCTTCTTGAGGTAGTGCACCACCAGCTCCTCGTCCGTCGGGTGGAACCGGAAGCCCGGCGGGAGCTCCGGCGCCGAGCCCCGCTGCGGAGGCGGCGGCTGATGCTGATGGTGATACCGCGTTGCTTTTTGCGCCGAGCCGGAAGATGAGTCGGAAGCTGCCCATGGACCTCATCAGATCTTCTTCCCCTAGCTAGCTAGCTACCAACAAACACACCAGATGATCCCACCAGAGCACCCCTGTGGTGGGCACCTAACTCAACTGCCAAAGCTTCTAGGTAGTGTGAAGGAAGGAACGGAGTGGGATTTGTTACAGCGACGGTTGGGAGGAAGGAGAGGAGAGGCGGGCGAGTGATCTGCTGTGGGAGCTCTGGTGGTTTCGGGGCGGCTGTGAAACCGTGGCGAGGAGAGCAGGGGAGAAATACGGCACCTTTGTACCTAGCCCGGGGCCGCGGGCCCGTCGCCGCTGGACACGTATGCCGGCCGCCGCTCGTACCGCGTGTCAGATCGCCACCGGACGGCGCAAGCTCGCGCGACCACGGCCACCCATTCCGCTTCCTACCTTATTTTTTCTTCTGGGATGGGAAGAGTATTCCGCCACTTCCTTCTATGCGGGCGGACGCGGGGGAGCCGGACCGGACACGGTTCACCTTGCCCCATCCTTCGGCTTAAGGCCTGGTAGTTTGCACCGGCTTCGTAGCTTCCTGGGCTAGGTATTTTGTTGGCCCGTGCTGAGCTCCATTTCAGCATATTCTGGTGGGCCGCATGATACCAACATCGTGACCTCTTCTTGCTCTCTTTTTTAGCACAGATGTTTCTCGGGAAGCAACTAATCAAAGGGTACCTCTTTTAACATCGTGACCTCATTTCACACACCTTATGAACCCAACCAGTTCGTCAGACCACGTGAAACATGTGGTAAGCAATTCAAACAATTAAAAACAAATCAGTTCGTCAAAAAAAGCAAACCAATCTGTGATTGGATGGTTAGAAGGACATGTAGGGAGCTCCTATACGGCGCTGCAGGCGCCCGTTGGCGCTCCTGACGCCTGCAGCGCCCCGCGCTGGGCCGGCCCATGAAGAGTGCAAACCAGAGAACATAAAACGCTCGCAAAACCAAAAACGGGTAAAAACAATGCTCTCCTCAGGACTCGAACTCGCCACCGCATGCTAACAAACAGGTGCCACAAGCCACACGAGCTACTTGCTATCTATGACTACTAACAGAGGCTGCAACTTAATAACAAGGCCACAGTGCTATTCTATTGAACATACTCATTCATCTATGGTACCATTTAATTTTTTTGAATTATTTGGAAAAAAGATCGTGATTTTGAAAAAAGTTCTTCATTTTGGAAGAAAACGTTCATTGACTTTCAAAAAAAAATTCATGAAATGAAAAAAGTGCAATAATTTTGAAAAAACAGTTCACAACAATGAAAAATGACCATGAGTTTGAAATAAGTTCATGGATTTGAAAAAAAGTTCACTGAAATTTGGAAAAAGTTCATTGAATTTCAAAAAAGTTCATTAGATTTGAAAAATAGTTCATCAAATTTCGAAAAAGTTCACCAAATTTTCAAAAAAGTTCATCGGATTTGAATTTTTTTTTTTGCAAAAAGTTCACAACAATTTTAAAAAAGTTCATCGGATTTGAAAAAAGTTCATCGGATATGGAAAAAAGTTCATGGGTTTTTGAAAAAGTTCATCGATTTTGCAAAATGTACATAAAATTTCAAAAAAGTTCATTCAATTAAAAGAAATTCATCGAATTTGAAAATAAGTTATTGATTCTGAAAAAGTTCATAGGTTCTGAAAAAAGTTCATGGAATAAAAAAAAACCGTGCACTAAAGTAAACAAAGAAAAAAGAAAAAGAATAGAAAAGAAACCGAACTGAAGAACAAAGTAAAAAAGAGAAAAACGAGCTAACTTTACACGCTTGAGCGGGTGTCCCTGGTGTCTACAGCAGTGCGCTTTCAACAACTTGGTCGTGTGTTCGAATCCCCATCGGCACACAAATTTTGCTGGTTCAAAACCAGGAAAAAAGAACGTAACGGGCCGGCCCAATAAGAAATGCCTGCAGGCGCCGGTTGGCGAACCGGCGCATAAGCGCCAAATAGGATATGCCGGACATGTATCCCTAGCCCATCGGAGTTCAAGTCCTAAACTTAATATTGATGCTTATATTATTCCTGGATTATCATGATTATGTTTGTCTGGCTGCTAGAAAGTTCCTGAGTCAATTGGCTGCTAGTTTTTTTTTTTCTGCGGGAACAACTAGATGCTAGTTTTTTTTCCGGCCGAAACAACTTGCATCTAGTTAGCCAACACGAAGAAGGAATTTTCAAAAATGTTTCTTCATCCGGCGAGCGGTCTTTTGGATTGGTTGGAAAATCTCTCGAATTGGATTATCGTAACAAGCTTGGGCGTCACGAAAGCCCTAAGCATTTCTTATCGGGCCAAAATTGTCCAGGAACGCAAAAATAATTCTTCGCTCAGAATTCGAATACCGTTAAATCACTATTTTAAGGGTTACCGCTTACAAAGGTCACTCCTCACCTTCTCAGAGAAGTGAACGCTGTTGTGCGCACACTTATCGCAACCTGGATTTTTTTTCTTTTTTCATAGATTCATTTATTTAAAATGTTTTATCTCTTGAACCATGTCTCCAACTATCAAACTGTTTTAATCGTTGGATTTCTCGCATCGAGATCTTCGAAACAAGATCCCTTATTAATAGGTTTCAACAAACATTTTTTCCCATGAAAAAACCCCCAAAAATTAGAAACCAGGAAAAAAGGAAACAAAAAATGAATCCAAAAAAATCAGACAAACTGGCAACCGAGAAAACGGAAGAAAAAACCGGAGTCCGAAAGCAAGGTTAAGGTTTTTCACTTTGGGTGTGGGGGGGAGCACGTGCTGTGTTTTCCTTTTATTTTCTCGGGAAGCACCGATTGTGTTTCTCGTGAAAGCACATGCGATGGTCTTAGGGGAAACATGGGTTGTGCTTCTCATGGAAGCGTATATGTGTTTCCATTTCCATTAGAAACACACACACACAGATGTGCTTCGCAAAAAATATTTTTTTTTCTCTTTAAAACTTAGGAAAACCAAGCAAAATCGAAAAAAACAAAAATCCGAAATTGCGTACAAAAAAATAAAAAACTGAAATTCAAAGGGAACCTCAAGCATGGGACATGTGACGGCGGCATCATATGGTATCGGCTGGAGGCACCACTTAGCGCGCTCCAGACCACCAAAAGTGACCCCTCGAGGTTCCTCGAATGGAGTCACCATTCGTTAGTGACTCCCTGGATACTGACGAAACAACGACAATTTTCGTTGGGCCAAAATCACTTGTTACTATAACTTAGGAGTCCAGAGTGACATGGCCAAAATCGGGCGCTGCTAGGGAGCAACTTATTAACGGTACCACTTGGAGGGTTCCCGCAGAGGTCATGTTTTTTTACCTAGAAGCACCTCAATGATGCGCCCAACAGCCACCACGTGTGCTGGGCACACCCTCAAGATTTCTTTTTTTTTCCTTCTCGACGCATGTTTTCGTTTTTTAATTTTGTTTGTTGGTTCTTTTAGCTTTTCAGTTTTTGCTTGGTTTTGGTATAAAAACATTTGGAAGCGGTGCTTTTCCGCGAGCGAAAAACATACTTATGCTTTTCAAAAAGAGAAAGAAATAGTCCGTGCTTCCTGAGTTGTGCTTCTCGAAAATATAAAAGCATAGTTGTGCTCCCATGAGAAGCACCAAAAAGAAAAAGAAAAACATAGTTGTGCTTCCCAGAAAAGAAAAGGCATAGCCGGTGCTTCTCGAAAAAGAAACAAAAATTGTGCTTTCCGTGTGTGTTTGGTAGCAGTCCCAACCTAGCATGGTTGTTCTTCTCTGATATATGCTCAGTGTAGACATGCTGAGTACATGCATTTGCTGATGTTTGGTAGCGGTCTATGTGCTGAGACATGCTAAGCTGAGACTCTGTTTGGCAGCTTGAATCTGTTTAGACATGTCGATCCGCACTGTAGCAACCGAGATTTTCAAATAAGTGACAAAACATTTCAAAAATGTGAACAATTTTTTGAAACATGAAAAAACATTTTTGGAAATTAAACATTTCTTGATATTCTAAAGTTTTTTTTAAAAAAAGTAAACAAATTTGAAAGTTTGAATTTTTTTAAAAAATAAACAATATTTGAAATCTGAAATAATTTTGGAAAATCAAATAGTTTCAAGATTTGATTTTTTAATTGCGACAAAAATTTAAAATTCTGAACATTTTTTGAAAATCTTAAC